AATAACAAGTGTAATATCCACTAAAGCAAAGCTTAAGTATATAACACCAACAGAAATGTAGAGTCCCAAAACTTCCTATAAAAGGGAGGGGAGGACATCATTTAATGCAATGAGTAAATGCTCTCATTAATTACTCTATAAGTCACGGATAGCCTGAGCATTCGGACCGATAAATTAAACTGAATCCCATATATAAATACTATTCGTGCAGACCGAACAGAGCATACATCTTAGTGTGCAGTTCGAACACATTGTTGGTCATTTTAGACATCAACACCTCTCAAAACCTTTAGCCTCTCAAACTATCATCATACGCCACTATACCAAAATAAAAATTTCAGAAAGGACTTCGGATTTAGCCATCAGGGCAATTGGTGGTAGACGATTAGGAAGTAGAAGCTCACCTATTTGTGACTTTAGCTATGATTCAAAGTTCTTCGTGCCGGCTGTCGGTTGCGTATGACGGAGATCGTTTGTGAACTGGGCGCCTGGGGATAATTATATCCTCTCGTGCTTTTTGGAGAGAGAGGGAGAGAGAGAGAGAGAGAGAGAGAGAGAGAGAGAGAGAGAGAGAGAGAGAGAGAGAGAGAGAGAGAGAGAGAGAGAGAGAGAGAGAGAGAGAGAGATGGTGAACGTGGGCGGGTGTTGTTTTTACCATAGTTTTTAAACCCGGCCCGATAATCGACCCAGGCTGATCTCCGGGTCATCGGGTTACCGGGTCAATCGTTGAACCGAATAATTAATTATAAAATTTTTAAAATTATATATAGAGTATTTTTGTCATATAGATATACATAAAAGTAACAAAAATTAAGAGCATGTTTGTTTTTATAAAAATTTTCCAACATTTTAACTCAACTACTTTTTTTAACTCAACTGTAACTCAACCTCATTGTCATCAATAATATCAATATAATTAAATAATACCAGTCAATCATTCATACACACAACATCAACCTTAATTCACTATTCATCCAGTCACATTATTTTAACTAACTATCACTTCAAATCATTTCTCTCATACTTTACTCATCAAATCAATTTTAATTATTTTATTTTAAATATTATTTTGATATACCCACTAACAACTAACCATACCATATTTTTCAAAATTAACCAAACCAAACTAAAAATCCAAACAAAACCAAAAATTTTCATAAACAAACATGTTCTAAAAGTTTTGTGTATAAAATTTGTACATTAAAGTGTTAATAATATGTATATCATGATAATATTTACCATATAAACATATATACATAGTTTTATTATAAAAGGACAAAAAAAATAAAAATTTAAAAATATATATGGGCCGGGTCAACCAGGTTGTCCCGACTGAGTCAATGCACTGGGTCACCCGGGTCAACGCCAGGTTGGCCGGGTTTTGACCGGGTTTGACCGAGTCCTTTGTTGCTCGGTCTAAATAGCCCACCCGGACAGTTCTGACTCTGAGTCGACCGGGTCCGGGTCGAATCGCCGGGCCGGTCGGGTAAAAAAACTATGGTTTTTACGAGAGATATATATAATTAAATCTTCCAATTTATTTGGTAAGTGAATTTAAATGATTGATATCAATGTATTTAATTTACCCAAAAATTGCTTTCGTAACTGTTAAAAGGAATTTATACCATATCAAGTATATTTTGCAATGTTTTGTGGTTGTTTTGGCTATTTTATAAATAAAAATAAAAGGGGTACAAAATTTTTATATATTAAATATATTAGTACGTGGTTATGATTTTATTAACTAGTGTATTAATCCAAATCCTAAACATAGAACGGTGACATATGAATTGTAACATTTGGGCTCAAATCTATATCTATATATATATATAATTGCTAGCATATAGCATTTAATAAAATCTATTTAATAAAACCTTTCAAATTTTTCCTCCATTTTCGGTTACAAAATTTATCATTAATATGTATTTTTTTATTTCTCACATTAATACATCCTGTTGGGTGTAATTGTCTATGTTTCTATTATATTAAATAATAATTATTGCTAATACCAACTAACAATAATTCACAATAAATATAAAAACAATTGCTTCGAGTTATTTATTTTAACATCGATATTATTATTTTTTTTTTTGTATCTCATGAAAAAATTTCTTTTCAAACAATTAGTAAATTATTTTAATAACATAATCAAACAACTTTAGAAGTTTATAATAATTGTTTTTTAAAAATAATAATAATAATAATAATAATAATAATCAAACTGTTATTACCTAATGGTAATTCATAAGAATAAAATCATTAATTTATTTTTCCTAATAATCAAATTTTAAAAAATGTGATACGTTCATTATCTATAATTTTAATATTAAAATCTTAAATATTATTTATAGTAATATTTTATGTACATATGTAGATGTACACAAGAAATCTATCATCAATTAATACATAATAGGGGACTGTGATGACCTACTGTTTCAAATTGACGCCATTAGACACTTGGCAACCGAACCTCTCTCTCTGGTCCTTCCCCACACGCAGAATACGTCAGTCTGCTTGCGACGTTTCCAGGGAGACCCAACTCAAACTCCATTCATGAAGATGATGATGATGATGATGATGATGAGCTAAAAGAGAGCCTCCTTTTGTTATCAGTTCTTTCTCATCAGCTCCCGATTATTCCCATAAATTGCTCTGATTATGGTGAAGAAACGGGTCCCCGATTGGCTTAACAGCTCCCTCTGGTCATCACCTCCTAAGAACGACGCCGTCAGGCCCCCAATTGTTGAACCACCGCCTCCGGTGCCCCCTCCGGAGCCTCCCACCATTTCTTCTGTTTATGCCGTCGCAAAAAGGGAAATTAGGGATCCGTTGAGTAATAACTATGTTAGCAATAATAGTGTTTGTTACAGTGACGACGAAAATGGGAGCTCCTCCGCCAAATCTACGGCGTCTTCTGGTGCTACTGCGGCTGCCGCACCTCTGGCTGCTGAAATTATCGCAAGGCAGGCCCAGCTTTTACAAGAGGTTTGCCATCTCTCTCTCTCTCTCTCTCTCTCTCTCTCTCTCTCTCTCTGTCATATTTGGATAAATGTGCCAAGCTACTTCTGGGAGAAATGAGCTAAGCGGACATTTGAAGTTGCTCATACTTATTTTGATGCATGAGATTCCATAACTGACAATTTATCAAGCAGTGTGTATCGCTATATGCATATATATATCTTCAGTGGACGAGTAATTTACCTTTTGTTGCAACTTATATATAGTCTTCATCCAAAACCGTATCTATGCTCCAAGTATAGACGGACTTGATGGTTGGAAATTCCATCTCAACATTGTTGCTTGATTTCTTCATCATTGTTATGAGATATAGCTGCGCCATAGCTAATAGCTACTGTTAAGTGGTAGCCAGCCTGGAGAACATTTAGTATGAGTCTGATCATGATGTGAGATGTTGTTCTCCCAGGTCACGATATAGGAGATAACTGAGTTCCGCTGAGAACTATTGTACAACCCATCTGTCTGGCTTTGTAAATTGTTTTCCTTGCCCTCGTTTTTTGCTATCATTTCATATCCTTTTATTTTATGAAATTGCAGTGCTGTGTTAATTTTATTTGTATTTTACTATTTTCGTTAAAAACTAGCTGTCGAGGAAGGTTATAAACCTGGGAGAATTGAGGAGGCTAGCATCACAAGGAATTCCTGATGGAGCTAGCATTCGCTCGACTGTGTGGAAGGTATGAATTCTGATTTTTTACCTGTGTGGAAGGTATGAATTCTGAGTTCTTTTCTTATTTAGTTCTTCACCAAAGATTTGCTTCTTTCACCATTAAACTTTATTTATTATTAGTGATATGTTTCATCTGATCTAGTTCACATTTGAGAAGTAAGAATTTTTGTTGTCATTATTAGTCATTACTAGAATATAATTGCAGTACGCTGCTGTGCCACCATGTTACATTACATATCATAAAGAGAATATAGAATACATTCAGAAAATATTAAAATATCCATAGAATAACCCAATAATTCATTTGTTACTATATTCTGGTCTGAGGAATTGAAATGTAAACGAGAGATGATTATATGGGACCACTTACTCTTGCGAAAATTATTCAACTAATATCATGGTATTTATCTGAAAATGAAGCTTTTACTACAAGGTCACATGTATACTTATGGGATCTGCATCTAGATTGCGTCACTTAATCTACTCCAGAACCTGGCCGTTTATTTAGTAATTTATTTTACACAACAGTCTATCCTAGTGAGCAGTATAGAGATTTGACTCAATTGACGATTTCTCCATTACGCACTTATGATCCCTGTTTCTTTTTATTTGGATTCATCTCATGATTCGTTTCTTGTTACTTCATTAAAGAGATTATAAATGTTTGGTAGTGATAAATTAGATTCCATGATATTTTTCTAGTCGTTTTACAATGTATTTTAAACTGAAATTTTGTACAAGCAGGACATACTAATACCTCTTAAAAATAATAGAAAGATCAAACACCTGAGTTATGTTTTTTTTTTTTTTTTTTTTTGTTTGGTTGGAAATTGCCTATACTGCCTTCCACGGATGCTAAAAAATGGCATGTTATAAATTAAACGGAAAAGGGGGTTGAGATTTGGAGTAAGAAACCCGCTACACGTCAACAGTATCCCCATCATTAATCTTAAATGCCCCTACAAAAGAATTTTGTCTTTAGAAATTAAATTAACAAAGAGAAAAAACTGAGAGAATGGAGAAGTAAATTGATGGTCGTTGCAAAATGACAAAACACTGTAAAAGCATTTCTGTCCTAAGGAAGGAAAGATTTCCTTTCCATGCTTGGTTGTTGACCTGTTTGAGGCATAAAAAACACAAGGAAAGGTAAATGACTCAACTACAAAGGTTTCATGTAATAGCATAAAATTTTGTTAGAAAATGTGGAGAACTTGGTCTCAGATTCTTGCAATGCTAACAGTTTTGAAGTGTTTAAGAAATTCTTCTATTTTTATTTTCAAGAACTTATTAGTATAAGCTTTAGCTTGTAGGACAAAAGAATAAAGCGAGGAAAAACTGAGTATTCCTTTATATTTAACAAATGTAGACTAAAAAATCACAGGAAGAATATGGTTCATATTTACTTTCTCTCTATTTCCTGTATCTTCTTCCTTTTTTTTCTTTTTTTCTTTTTTTTTTCTTGTTGTGATTATTGTTGTTCTGGTTTTTGATTTGGAACTTTTTCTGATGAGGATTATGATTTTACTTGACTTTTTGCAGCTGTTGTTGGGGTATCTGCCATCCGATCGGTCACTTTGGCCTTCAGAATTGGCCAAGAAAAGGACCCAATATAAGCATTTCAAGGAGGAGTTGTTGATGAATCCTGTGAGTTCTTCAAACTTTTTGAAATATCTAAATCTGTTAATGTATATTTTCATTATTCAATTGTCAATGTGAAGTTAGAGGTAAAAAATAATCAGGGCTACTCCCATATAGTCATTTCCTTGCGAACTGGTCTGCGGTTTAGAAATTCTTTATATATTATTGAAACGCAAGGAAGTTGCGGGAAGAAACACCAATTGTTGCAGATATTAGGTCTAAAGATCTCACAAATATATGTTTTTTTTCTTTGGTTTTATGGAATTTCTTAGTTAGATTTTACTATTTGAATGACTCGTTGTTGTTGTAAATGATTTCCACTGGAATTTGATCCTTACTTAATGGGCACTAGCTATACTGAGACAGTTAAAGGGCGGGTAACTTAAGTACTTAGTATGCGTTGGTTGTGTTTGTTCATGGAATATTTGGACCTGGACTTGTGCGTTTTGAGTTTTGTTGCAACCTAAGCGCACTCAGAAAGACTCGATTTTAATCTGTCTACCTGCATTTTTTTTTTTCTTTCATTTTAGTTTTCCGGGGGTCACTATTCTTTTGTATTTATATGTAAAATTTGAGTAATTATATTATAGATCTTATAGAGATGATTAATTTGATGTATCTTACATATACACATGGAGAAGAATTGTGAAAGTAATCATGATTCAAAGTTTTTGGTGGAAAAACAGACATTTGATATGCTAAGATAAAACCTTTTCATTATTCAGCACAGATCTTCAAATTCAAATCTTTGCCTCGACAAACTCTTGTCCAAATGTAATGTTTATTGAAACACACAAACCACTCTTCTTGAATTGCTCAATGTACCACCATCATTTTTCTGCAGGCACGCTCACTGGATGTGGTATTACTTATGTAGATATGTAGTAGAATCTACAACAGATTTACATTGGGCATCCTATTTGATGCTTGTTTTTTCTTTTAGTTTAAGAAAATGAAATAAAAAACAAAAGAATAAGATGAGAGGCTTCATTATAGACGATGTCTTCAATTTTCTGGGAAGTTAACATTTAGAGAAATTTCAAACTTGAAACATAACTAATGTCGATGACATTGCATGCTGTGCTTGTCAATTACTTTAATGTCACCTGCACATCTTTCATTATTTTTGGCATTTCCTGAATCTTCAAATGGCTAGTCAGTCAGAGATTACGAGGAGGCTGGAAAAGTCGAGCCTTGATAATTATGAACTTGATAGTAGCCAGGGCTACCTTTCCAGATCAGAGATAACTCGTGACGAGCATCCCTTAAGTCTCGGGAAGAGTAGCATATGGAATCAGTTTTTTCAGGTACACTTACTCCCTCCATTGGCATAATTGATCCTGACATTCTTTGGAAAGAAATTGTTGAGTGTACCCAATCCCATCGCATCATTTATCTCGTGTTACTGAGGTTCAATCTGCAGTAATGCCCCATCTGTATTTAAACTGTTGAGTGGTCAGAATTATTTAATTGTATGCCGCAATACAGAACCATGGCAATGTCACCACTCAGCAGTAAGATTTGATATTGTGAAATTTTGTTTCTGTAGGAGAGTGAGATCATAGAACAGATTGACCGAGATGTCAAGCGTACGCATCCAGATATTCCATTTTTCTCAGGGGACTCAACTTTTGCTAGATCCAACCAAGTGAGCCTTAGTTTGGTAATTAGATTCTTTTATCTCTTTCTTGTTACTGATGGTTGCTTATTTCACCTTCCCATGAATCTTACTTTCAGGAGGCTTTAAGGAATATTTTGATTATATTTGCAAAATTGAATCCTGGAATAAGATATGTACAAGGCATGAACGAAATCTTGGCTCCTTTGTTTTATGTGTTCAAAAATGATTCAAATGAGGAAAATGCGGTAAGTTATGTTTCTTGGTGTCTAATTTTTCTTGTTTGAGTGAAGTGCTATTAATTTTATTTTATCGTGTGATAATATGCACCTTCGTTTTGTCTTCAAAGTATAGTATTATTAGTACTTATCAAAGTGCAATTTCTAACCTGATCTGTTTATAATTTATAAAAGTTGAAAATGAAATAAAATCTCTTTTTTTTTTTTTTTCGTTTCAATTAAAGAATCTTCGATTTGAAGCATTATCTATATTTCATCCAGCTACTCGTCATCTATTCCAACTCTCCTTATCCAAATACAAGTACCATAACCAGCAACGAAAACTACACGAGGGAATGTCTGACATCTCCACTTGAACATATTCATTATTCCTAATGTTATCAATATGATATCAACTAAGACTCCCTGATTAGCAGCTCCCTGTTTTGATTTGGAGCATGATATACTTATGGGGTCAACGATGTTTGCCAATGTTTTTTTTTTT